CCTTAATTAAAATGTAGGCTTTGTGCTAGTTTTATGATCCAGGGTATTTTGGGAAACCCCACTTTCCTCATCTTGAAATAGGGATAATGACACTGACCTTGGAATGAAGATTAATGAAGTAAATAAAATAGTGCATCCAAAGAATGTAGCCAGTCCTGGGCACATAGAAGTCACTTAATCAACCTCAAATCCCTTCTTTTTGTCTGCTTGCACTGAGGGGCAATTTGGGTTCATGCAGGTAAATGTGCAGGCCTGGGGAAGTACCTATTTCTTGCCAAACCCAGGTGTTCTCTGTCTGACCCCACGTAGGCACAGCTGGGCGTGATCTCCTAGACCACCCACCCTCCTCTCTGGATGTTCCAAGTATAACAGCTTGTGTTTACTTCTCATTGTCTTGAGAATCATTGGCTGATTTTTCTGTCCTCCCCACTAGACTGTAGGTTTCTTGTAGCCTAGGCAATGACATTTCTCTTTGATTCTCTGGTACTTAACCCATTGTGTGATTGTGCTAGGTACTCAGTAGATGTCCCTACAGGTATGGGTGGGCAGAGACAGTTTTGATGATGTCCAGCCACTTCCCTTTGAAACCTTTTAGGAAAACGAACAGATTCTAAGGGTAAAGATAAGAGGGAAACACCTGGGAAAAGCTCAGCCACCATTCTGTGAAAGGGAGTGAAGTCAGGGGATAATTTCAGCAGAATGGTCCTTTTTTTTATGTTCAGAATATTGCATTCTAAACTCTTGTGGGTTCCTGAAGTGTTAAGTCTAAGGTGTATTTCACCCTCATTTGAAGATCCTCTATCTCCTCCAGAAAGCCATTGCACTTCTCCCTCCTGCTGCCCTTTTCTACACCTGTGTTATGTCTCCATAGGTACCACTGATTTGTGATCAGCAGGCTGTATATTCCCTCTAAGCTGGTGGTTCCCTGTAAGCAGTGTTCTAGTTCACCATCGCTGTATTACATGAAGCAAAGCACACACCTGACAGCCACACTGTGTGGTCATGCGATGTGTGCAAGGAAACAACTGGAGATTCTTGACCTGGATCTGGGAAGTACTGCCCCAAGGGTTTTGGATGTGCGTCATGAACTTCCTGAAATTGTATAGGAAATTGTGTGTATATGTTCATAAATCTATTTCTCCTGTGAGAGAGTCCATAGTTTACATTTAATTCTGAAATGTTTTCATGATCCTGAAAATGTTAAAAAGAAAAAAAAAATCTCACAGCAAAAACTCACTCATTTAGAGATTTTCCACACACTTGTAAATTAAAGTTTGTATTTTTATTAGCCGGGAGATATTTTTATGCTCTCCTGGTTTCCGGGTGTGAACTACAGGTTGGGGTAGCCAACGAGCTCTGTCTCAGAGTTATGTATCACAGTCTGGCCTGCTGCTTGCATATCCTGGAGGGTCCACTTTGCTTTTTTGAGCTTCATTTTATTTTTTGTCTGTTAATTCAGATTTATAATGCCCTCTTGCCCTCTTGTCCAGGCACTTTATAAACTGCTAAGGGCTGTTCAATTGCAGGATGCAAGTATTACTATTTCAAGCGTGTCATTTCTCATGTCACACGGTGCTGAGAACACAGTAGACAATAAATATGTGATTAAAATGAACAAAGAGAGAGTTTGTTGGGGTGGGAGAGCTAGAGGTTTAAAGACATTGGTATCTGCATGTTTTGCACATACTGCGTAGGACCTAATATTAAGTCCTAGAACACAGGGCCATTGAGGAAATGATTTTCAAAGAATGTTAAAAGTCAAAATGACCTTCGACACTGTAAATTCATTTGCTTCATTTTACAGAAGAAATTGAGATTTACAGAGACAGAGGCTATTCCACTTCTTTCAGAAGGGCTTGACTCCTCCTCTTTATTCTTAATGGAGGTCAAAACAACAACAGCAACAAACCTCTTTGCCTTCATGTCATCGATTTGTTATCTTACCTTTTTAAAACAGCACAGAATTCATCCTATGGTCTTAACTCTCTTAGGGGCCACTTAGAGGCCCGCAGTTCCTAAAAAATCCTGGTACTATGTTAGACACAGGCACAGTATACTATTAATGTAAAAATTTTGTATTTCCGAAGACCTTTCTTCTTGGAGTATTCTCCAGAGACATCACATCAGAGCACTGGGTATAAATTATTGCCACCACTCTCGACTAAGACTGGGAGAGGTTACAATGACTTATCCAAGCCACAAAACTCAGTGTCCAAAGCAGAATGAAAATCCAGGGGTAATTACCTATCCTTATAGCCACTAGATTCTAACTTTTTTCATCAGACCTCCTCCCTGCCCCCAATAGCTAACAAAATAGTAACCCAGAAATGTTTTGTTTTTTTGCTGTTTGTGTGTGTGTGTGTGTGTGTGTGTATAATTGACTATAATCTGTTCTTCCATTTAAATAATTTGTAATAGAAGTTTGAAATTATATTTAGTCATTGCTTTATAATGAATGTTACTTAATTAAATATTACTTTAAAAATTGGCTTCTCTTTTTTTGGTCATTGTATTACTCTTTGGAGGAGAGGTTTTGTTTTGCTTTTTAACCTGGTTGTGTGCATTTGGAAAGTACCCTAACACAGGGTATCCAAAAGCAGAAAATTCTGGCACTTTTCCCACTTTCCATTCTTTCTTCTGTATGGATGCCAGATTCCTTTGGGAAATCATCATTTACAAAAAGGAGCAAAAGGAGGGGCATTCTTGAGTGTACAGTTACTGCTAATTGGAAACTAAACATCTGTAACCATGTCAGAGTTATTTGTATTTGAAAAGAAACATTTATATACAAGAGCCCTTTTGGTAACATAAAACACACTGTAACACAAAGTGTGTGTGTTGAAGTGGTGGGGGATAGACAGCGGGGAAGCTTCCAACAAATGACTGTGCTGTCCTGAGTGAGGTCATTTGCTAATTAAATCTCAAAACATTTTCAGAGTATTTTTCTTTGTGAAATGAAGTTTTTCTCCCAGCCATCTCACCACAATCCCCCATAGACCAAAGCAAACATTTTACTGCATTTGCCAATTACAGATTGAACATTTAATCATTTAAAAAGAATAAATGAGAAAAATGGGTGAGTTGTCAGAACCTAGTCAAAGATGAGTGGGAACTCTCTAGCTACCTACTGTAACCTTAGCCCTCAGTGCCTTCCCGTAGATGATGTGAAGGTTTCCCATCCTGAAATCTTCTTAGGGGAAAGAAATGATGCAACGCTTTCACTTACCCTAAACCCCTTTCTTCTCTCTCTGTACCTCCTCCTTCCCACCATCCCCATGAGGAAAGTCTGCTAAGGTCATTCTATTTGTACATAAATTGTATCTGTATTTTTATTGTCATATTAAGATAAATCTTGGTGATACCTCTGGGGTGTTGGAAACATTTCAGAAACATTTTGGTTGTAGGGCTCTGTCTCTCTACCTACGTAGCCTTAATGGCCCATATCTTACCAGGAATTCTTTCTTGGAACACTGATTAATTTTGAAAAAAGTCAAGAGGCCATCTCTTTCCCTTGCAAAGTCTACCATCTTCTGATCTTCCCTATCCTTATCTTTGCATCTAAGACATTTCTGTAAGTTGACTTACTTTTTTAATGGGATGAAAGATCATGAAGTCTTTAGAGGTCTAGTCAAGAACTTATTTAAGCTAGGACTTTTACCATATTATACTTTGCTCTCAAGCAATCAATCCCATATCTGTGAAGGCTTTCAAGTGCACAGTTTCAACAAAATGTTTGTGGTCTCTCACATTCTGAGTGTTTACAAAATCAAGAGGCCCTTAGATGACCTGCCTTTATAATGACCTTTGTAGAATCTCAAAATAGCACTTGTTCAGGACTTTCACTTATTTAAGAACTGGTTCTTTGGGTGTGAGTCAGCCCAGAGGTAAGGATTTGGTGACTTGAATGTTCATTTCTTGTTCTCTTAACTTCAGACAATATAGTCTGCCATTTGTAGCATTCCCCATTGTGGCCTGGCCAACTTCTCAGCCTTAAATTCCACTATTATCCATGAACCTTTACTTCAACCGGACACATCTAACCCATACCTTGAGTATTTCTACCCTTGCTTTATACCACCATCTCTGGTTGAAACATTTTCCTGGTTTCTCTTGTCCTACTTGAATTATGCTTGCTTTCCTGAGTTCCGTCCTTCCTCCTTTGACTTCTTGTAGTCATATTGTCAAGGTCACTTGCTTATCATTTTCCTCATACTGTCCTGTACTTTTGATCATCTTTTCAAATGCACTTCTCATCTAGCCAACCAGAGTATGGGCTCCTCAAAGATGACAGTGACTGTCTTATTTTTCATGGCACTTACCATGGTGCTTTTGCTCATTATAAGTGCCAAATAAACAGTTGATTGATTGTTGAAGAGTAAGTCATTTTTTGTTGCTACCTGTTTATTGTCTTATTCCCAAAGCCTATCTACATTTAATCCTTATAATAAAGAGTTGTAGATGCTAATGATGTTTTTATTTTTATTTTATTTTTTTAGAGACGGAGTCTCACTCTGTCATCCAGGCTGGAGTGTAGTGGTGTGATCATAGCTCACTGTAGCCTCAAACTCCTGGGCTCAAGAGATCCTCAAGCCTCAGCCTCCTGAGTAGCTGGGACTATAGGTGCATGCTACCATACCTGGCTAATTTTTTTAAAATTTCTTTTATAGAGATGGGGTCTCATTATGTTGCCCAGGCTGGTCTCAAACTCCTGGGCTCAAATGATCCTCCTGCCTAGCCTCCCAAAGTGCTGGGATTACAGGCATGAGCCACCATGCCTGGCCCTAATGATGTTTTTAACTGAAGCAAAGTCACCTATAGAACTAATGCAAATACAAAAAACATCATTTAGAATAGGGAAGTATTAATATAAAAAGCATCATTTGGAGTAAGGAGCAGCTCCTGTTCTCCTGCCCTTGGATATTCCAGCCCAAGCTAGATAGAACATTACACAAATGTGAAGATGAGTATCGAATGGTCTTGTGTTTTTATTTTTTTCCCAGATGTGGTCGCTCACCTATCTACCGCTCCCGTGAAATGGCAGCTCGTGCCTTGGTTCCATTTGTTATGGTAGACCACATTCCTGAAACCATCCGAAGTCTGCTGGCCACACTTCCCAACTGCACTGACCAGTGTTTCCGGCAAAACCATATTCATGGGACACTTCTCCAAGTAAGTAAAGTTACTTTGTGTGACTTCTGTCAGACACCATAAGATGAACTTTGGTTTCTCATGTCCTATTACTAGGTGAAGATTTGATACACAGGCTTTTAAATTTATCTGTAGAATGTTTTTCTACTGCTGAATGATCAAGTGTCTCCTAGGTGTGCCTTTTTCGTCCCAAACATGAATACAATGTTAACTGTGATTCTGTCAGATTATCTTTTGCATTTAATCCTGTGCTTTCTACAACACACTTTCCCATTTGGACTTAACTCTCTGAGCCAGCTAAAGTTTTGTCTTTCCCATCAAGTATGCCTGTAGAACATTCTGGGTACTCTTTGTTCAGTGTGAAACTGAGTATTCCTTGAGAGAGAGGTTAGCCCACGAGGCACAGGGTGAGTTACATATATCAGGGAGAGTTTTCCATGGTACCTAGAAATCAAACCTTTCTGCCCTATTTTCTCTATGCTACTGAAAAAGCTTTTTATTTTGAATAAATATACAAGTTTATTGTTTTTAACCTAACATTTCTCTAGAAAAGACTCAAGTATAACAAGTAAATGAGAAATAGACCTCTTATTGAAACTGCCCTACTTAAAGCCCAACTTGGGGAAAGGTAGTATTGGTGAGATCTTCTGTTCACGTGGCTGCTGTAGTCACTCACACAGGGATGGAATTTAAATGTCTGGTCATGGTCCTGGTTTATGAGCAGAGTTGAGAGATGGCCTTGAGATCCTAATATGTATTAAGCCTGAGGTCTACACTGCTGACATGGCAGTGTATAGAGTAGTCCCATGGCAGTGGGACTCTGAAGCCAGACTGCCTGGGTATGAATGTCAGATTAACCCCTCACTACCTGTTTATCTGTGTCTTCATTTTTGAAATGAGGATAATAGTAGCTCATAGGGATTTTGTAAAGACTAAATGAATTAATATATATGAAGTACTTAGAATAGTACCTAGTACATAACAAGATAAATAGATATTATTATTATCTTAATTTTAATGAGCCTGTACTAAGATGAAAACTAATGTTTTTAGTAACTAATTCCCTTCAGGTGAGAATGCAAGATAGACCTATCCCATTGCCTTTCCTTCCTTCCTTGTCCCTCCACCCCCTTGGTTGTTTTACATATTCAACAAGTATTTATTAAATGCCTGCTACATACTGCTGTCATAGTCAGAACAGTGATTAAGTCAGTCCTTGCCTTGAAGGAGCCAAGGACAAAAAAAGGCCAGAAAATAGGTAGTCACAGTGTAGTGTGCTAAGTGCTGGGGGGATACATAGCAGGGCCACCTGACTTGTCTGGGGAAAATCACAGAAATCATCCCAGAGAAAGTGACATCTAAGCAGAGGCTGAAAGAAGTTAGCCCAGTGAAGGGAGGGAGAGAGTCTGCCATGCAGAGTGAGCAGCACTGAGAAGGGCTCCTGGTGAGCCAGAGGCAGCCCAGCCCGTCTGGGAACTGCAGGTTTGGGTGGGACTCAGGTTCTAGGTTGGCAGTTCACAAACTAGTCTCAGAACCTCTTTACACTCTTAAAAGTTATGGAGGGTCCAAAGAGCTTTTGCCTGTCGATATTTAATCAGAAAATGAAACTGAGAAAATATTGAAACACAAAGAGCTCACAGACACATATTGCATTAGTCATCAGAATGATGACATCATCACGTGCCTTGTTGCCTCTGGCAAACTACATTGTACATTCATGAGAGAATGAGAGTGAAAGAGGAAACTAACTTCTTAGTGTCACTTTGAAAATAATTTGATCTTGTGTACCTCCTGGGAAGATTGCACAGACCTCCAAGGGTCCCAGACTGCACTTTGAGATCATTTGGTCTGTGTTGCATACATCATGGGTCTTTGATGGTTTCTTTACTACAACTCTTAAGCATTCATCCTCCTTGGGTCCTCAGTACATCCCTGTGATGATGAGAGGGGCAGAGGTTATTATCTTGGTTTTAAAGATGGGCCATTGAGGCCCAAAGATCATCATTTGCTCACTCATTCATGTTAGATCTCTTGATGTGTCACACTCTGTTGCTGCTTTGAAGGAACAGGACTGGCATTAATGATTAATGCAGAACAGGCTTTTCACAGTGTAAACTGCAGCTAAGTTAGAAGGAAGGGCCAGATTGTCAAGGGGGTCAGCCATCAGATTTTCTTTATAGAAGAGCCACTGTTGGCTGAAATTTGTCCGAGTAGTGTGGTTGGAGTCACTTATTGGGCTCTTGTAGCAGTTGTACAAATGGACCTTCCAGCCTAGTTCCCCACACACACCACTGGCAGGTCCAACTGGGTTTCACTAGTCTGCCCAGCAACAAAACATGGTCTTTTGCTCTGTCTCTGGGCTGCTTTTAATATTTTCAAGTTTACTTTTTCTGCTAGCTAAAATGTGAAATCCTATGCATGGAAAGGTAAAAATTCTATAATTCTGGGGTTTTTCTGACTGTTGTTCTTGTTCCTAAGTGTCGGTGAGGTGACAGATTTGTTGGAAAAACACCAGCAATGTGGGTGTTGGATATTGTGTTCTTGTTTATCAGACAGATTCCTGCCTTCATCAAGGTAGTTTACCCTGGTTGAACAAAGAAGTCAAAGGCATGTGAAAAGTCTTTATGTCATGTCCATTCGGATGTCACATCTGTGTTGTCATAGTTCTGTTTCACCCTGTGGTTCTTTATGGGGAAAGCATAAGGGGTTAAGTTGTGGGGGCCTCATTTTCTCTTTTCTTTCTACAGCTTATAGATTCCTTCTCCACATAAAGCTACCTTTGAAATCAGTAAAAGGCCTGCACCTGGAAAAGGGATGTTAGGAATTGAAAGGAATGATAATCTCCTTGGGACCTTTAGAGCCAGCTAAGTAAATATAAAATTGTTATTTTTTTCAAAAGCAGGAAATCATTTTGTAATCAGAAAACAAATTCTTTCACAGAACATTTTCTTGAATTATACATTTTGACTTCTTTGAAAATGTTTGCATAAATATATCAAAACATAGAGTATTTCTATAGTACACCTTGAAAACAAGAAACATGCTGATTCTGAATTTTCTGGGACTATGGAAGAAAGACTCAAATTATAGGACATGCAAAAACAGAAAGAACATGTGGGATTCATCTCTTAATCATTTTAAAAACCAGAGGTTCATATGTGCAGCATTGAAATGGTTGGAAGTAATGCACATTAGAAAAGGTGAGATTATGCAGCATGTTCATAAAAGCCAGGGGTAAATGACATTAAATCTTAATAAAGGATAGATAAGAGCCATGGACATTACCTCATTTGGGAACAACATTGGCAGGGCTGCCCGGTCTTTTAAGTAGAATTAACCTTCTGTTTTTGTTGCCAAAATTCTTCATGTTGGGGACTTAACATTATTACTAGGTTACTTATCACTCCTGAGAAATCATATTGGAGTTCAGAAAGTTCTCTTGTATAGAGGAGGAATTTGGCCAACAATCAGAAGGAAAGATTTATTCTGATTCTTAGGTACTTACATTTTGGTGTTTCAAAAGGAAATGTATACCATTTGAAGTAAGAGTTTAAATTTTGAATTTTTTCATTTCCCGTCTATTTTGGGATTTTTTTTGATGATATAAACGAATAAAAAGTGATCCCTGCTTTTTTCTTTAATTAAGCTCTTTTATATCGATAAAGTGAGATAGACAGTTGAGGTAATCTGGCTTGTGTTAAAGCAAAAAACCCGCTTTTGGATGTAACTGAATATTCTAGGCAAAGATATTCCTTTTTTCTTCAATCAATCCAAATAATCACCTCAGTTCCACACATCCCTTTGCTGGTACAAATGTAATCTACACTTTTCGTCTAATGCTGGTATTAAATTTTCTCAGTTTTTACCAGCATAATCTGTCAAACACTCTGTTTAATTCTTTCATTTCCCTCACCCCCGCAACTGGGAGCCTTGATTTCTGTGCTTTGAGAATTCTTAGTCAAAAAGATCCCACTTTTCTGGCTGTAGAGCTGAGCAGCAGTGTTGCATACTTTGTTGACATGAAATATGAGCCAGGGATGGACTTCAGTCAGCCTAGGCCCACGCATTTGGGAAGTTTTCCATAAAAGAAGTAAAATTAACATTTTGAGCACCCCCTCCGTTCCACGTGAATTGCATATGTGATCTCATTAACACTCTTAGCAGCCCTACACGCTAGCAAGATAGGTATCGTGTTCTTTCTGTGTGTCTCTGTGTCTCTCTGTCTCTCTCTCTCCAATGAGGAAATTAAGGTAAGCCTGAGAGAGTTACTTGCTTAAAGTCAGAAAGGTAGTCAGTGGTAGAGATAAGATATTAAACTCTAAAGCCTGTGTTCCTTTTCTCTTTAGAATGTGCTGCCTCTCTGAAAATTGATATGAATAACAACTTTTTATGGCTAGGGAAACCAAACCAAGAATCTGTCTAAAGATACATTTTATCATTCAATTGCTCTTCTTAAATTTAATTTGATATACTACAACATTGGAAACAAAGTAAATCCGTCTATATTATAGAGGTGGACAGAGGAAGTCAGTGAAACCCAGAGAAGTTATACCTGGTAAAAGATTTCCTGTACCCTCCCCCTCCACTCACCTCTCTGTCATCATTTCTTTATAGTCTTCCATTTAATGCTCTTAGCCTGGAAACAAAGAATCCCCCCTGTTGGGACCTAGGCTGTAGCCAAGTCCACAATTAACGTACCTTCTGTCATCCTTAAGGGTTTGACAAAACTCTCAAACTTGGGCAACCATAGGAATTATGGATTCTAGGTCTGGGAGCTGATGGGACCATGAGAAAGTGGTCATGATTGAATTTAACTCAGCAGACACTGTGGCTTGCTTTTCCTGTTCTAGGCACTAACACAAGGAGTTTGCCTTTAAGGTTTTCACCTATGTGGAAGGTGAAAGCCTTAAAGGTGGAAGGTGAAAGCTCCCTGTGGGGAGCAGTGGATTAGAAGCCAAGTGAGCCTTCTGGGACCAGGGAGCATGTGAGTGACGGATATGAAGAGGAGGCAAAAGAGAATG